AAAAAAAAAAAAATTTAGCAGCCTTGAGATACGGTAAATTAGCAAATCCTTTCAGCCTTTCTAGTATAACCTAATCTAACAGCCCAAAAAGATATGATGCCTACAATTCAAACCAGCAAAGACAAAAATTTTTCAGTACCACTGTCATAACAGCGTTTTTCAACAACTCGGTCTCGCCTTCTGCCTCCCAAATCTAAATAACTTCGAATAGAAGACTAATTTTTCCTCTCAAAGCTACCATCATTCCCAGTTCTCCTCCCAACAGGAAGATCATTTTCTTAACAGAAACAACTTACACTGTCTCTTCGTGTAAGGAAAAGTGATTTACAACAAACCTCACTGTCAACAGCCACATATCTTCTTCACACTGCCACTCTATTCCTACTTGCTCCCAAATTCAAACCAGCTAAAGACAGGAAAAAAATTATCCTCTCCAAAAATAAAAAATAAGGTGGCAAGATGTGATTATCTCAGTCTCAAACCAATGAGCAATTTCGGGAAAAAACCCGCACCCTAAAGAACTCGATTTAAAATGCCCCAAATGTTATACAGAATATAGTGAGAAATAAACACCTGTGACAAACTACAAAAGATTAAAAAACGAAGAAAATACAAGGCGTCAACTATACAAGTAGAGGATACTAGGGCATCTTGAACAATATAAAAGAAAAAAATAGAAAAAATAATTTTTTCAAAAAAAAAAACCCAACTTCAAAAGAGAATGTTTTTTGGAAGACACCATGCACCAAGTACAAATGCTGCTATATCAATTTACTTTTTCAAACTTCAGGAGGAGGAGGAGCATTATATCGTGGAAGTGAACAAGAGTAATCTTTTGTATGAATATCACACTCTTCAATCTCCTCAAGCCTTCCAAGATCGCTCGCGATAACTTCGCCAGTTCCATAGCCTAAAGAATTTTTTTATCAATAACAAAAAACATCGAAAAACTTTAGTTACAAGTGAACAACTAAGTTTAACTTTGTACATAATCAGTTTAAAGTGCACTAAAGAAAACTTACAGTTTTATACTAAAACAAAACTAAACAACTGAAGAACAACGACCAGGCGTTTATACCAAAAAAAGTTAATTAAAGAGCAGTGGACCTGCAAAGACGTATGCTTCAATTTTGAATTTTGAACAGAGCGACTACGAAACACATCGCAAAATTTGAATTCAAAGCACACAACTTTGTAGATTCACTAACTTAGCGTTGACCTAATCTTTATCAAGTGAGAAGAACCGCATGAAAGCGTGAGAAACCTTTTTTCGAAGATTATGTCACGGTATTCGCGCAACAATGAAACTAAGGAGAGAATGCTCAGAAGTAACTGTCGCTTAAACAAAGCTGAGATCAAAAGAACTGACTCATAAACCAATCATTTAAATCGCTTTTCTTCTAAATGCATAGAAGGAATAGAAAAGATTACCATGCGCACTAGACCCACGAAGTATAACATTGTTAGAGCTGGAGCAAGAAGAAGCAGTTAAAGATATAAGTGAACAAGGACGTCGTGAGCCATCTCCCCAATCACGATTCCGTAATACCACTGACTAAAACAATTATTTAGTCCTTCAAATTCTACTGTTGAAAAGAATAAACTGAACGACAAAACATTAATATTCACTTCAAACTTCATAAACACCACAAGTAAAAGTCAAATGATACCGTCGGAAGCGGAGCTAAAGGAAAAATAGAAGCAGGAAGACTTCCAATTCCCATATTTGCTTTCTCAAGTAAACTATCCTCTCGACTTTTAATCGCTTGCTTCCACAAGAGACTGCGGATATCGTGGACCCATAAATCACGGATACAAGGAGACTGAGTCTGTAAAAGTCTTTGTTTTGCGTAAATAGGAGAAAAGAAGAAACGGTTAAAATAGAAACCTCCATGACGTAGGTGAAAGAAGCAGTTTGTTTGCGGAACCAAAGTTCAAATTTGGTTTTCGACGTTTTCACCATTTCGGTAAGCCCACAATCTGTCATCTGTAATTAAAAGAAAACAGTGACAAAATTAAAAAATAATATAAAGAATTGCACCATGAGTTAATAAACCCAAAGTTTTCCAGCTTTCTGCCCACAATTTATAAAAGACGCATAATCACCTGAATACTGGCTTTATATCTCAACTCATCGTAAGACCTTCCTAAGTGATCCTTGCGAAGACGAGGCTTCGTTATTACGACAGAATTTGTGAATAAAAAAACGCTACGCATCCTCTTCTTCGCATACAAGCCACGTTTCTCAGTAACACACATCGTGTCATTTCTCAGCAAAGCACCTTGCTCTCTAGAATAATTACAACAGATAAAACCTGTAAGCAGAAAACAACCACTTAACTCAATTAATTTGGCTTCTGTGCGTAACAGGAAATGAGACATAAAAAATATCTATCTGCTCAGAAAAAGTACCGAAGGTTTAAATCACATCCGGTTATCCTCTCCATTGCTAGGAGATTTGCCCCATGACGGATTTGGAAACTAACAACATTCACAGCTTTATGCAAAACTTCCAAAATCTCCTTAAAAAATGTCAAATTATAGCGCGCCACTTAAATTTTTCTCACAAAATTTATTTTCACAAAAAAAGTGATTAGTTTCGTCACTAAAGTCATGACCAAATGATTTGAATTTTTAGCTAACCAACCATCCTATTGGGTGAAGCTGCGTTCAGTAACTGCTGAAGTGCAAGTGTATATTTGCCTATTCTTTCAATTGGACGAACTAACAGATTCGTAACATCCTTGGAACCCTGGAAAAAGATATGCAAAAAAAGCGTTGCAGTACAATTATAACAACAACTTAATTGGCATTTATCTCCCTGTAAATACGAGCCTCAAAACCGAAATCAAACTGCATAGTAAACGTACCTTCACTGAGGAGAAGAAAGAGCCACCACTTTCACGCATTAACGCATCTGCTTTCGGCTTATTCTTTGCGTAAAGCGAATATAAGTTGAATGACATAGCATGCTCGACAAATAAGCTGCCTACTGTCAATGACAATGAATCTTCAGTAGGGCGGAACCTGAATAAAACGACAGCCCTTATAAAATCCCACAAATAGCTGAACCACCAGTACTTCTCAATAGGAAATTAAAGCATAGCAATAGAATTTATGCAAAGAAATCTTTAAGTTGAGAAACCTGTCCACAAGGTAAAGTAAAACCAGGCAGAGAAAAACAATTAGCCGAACTTTAGAGACTCGAATTCACATCATATCATCATTTGAATAATTGCAAAGTATTTAGCACAGAAAAGAAAGATGTCTTTGGACAATACCCCTTCAAAAAACCCAGTCACCTGAGTCTCGATATCAGTTGAGGAAGAAAAACGTGAGCGTGAAACTGAAACAGCTTTTCAATGTTACCGAAAAGCTGCGACTTTTTACCACGTAAAGTTGCAGGCAGATCATCACGAGTCATTTCCGGGATGAAATCCTACAAATATTTAATATCTCAACCAATGATTATTCGCAAGTTGGAAAACAACAAGTTAAAAAGTCAAACAAACCAAGCTAGCCGCAACTCAAAACAAAATACTACAGATATAGCGTGATAAATACCTGAACAACACTACGGAGCGACTTGACATAATCGATCTCACTGTCCAACAAGTCGCGAATAACTGTACATTCGATGCGAAAATTGGCATTACTTGTCTTTGATGGATTTAAAGCGTTACGAATATACTCAATTTGTTCAGACCGCAGAGGAATATCAAAGACTACAACCAAAAATATTACATTAAAATGAAATTCGCAATCCAAGACAACGTCATCAGAATATGCATAATTATCAGCAAAATAAAACATTTAAAAGAATTGGTCCTCGTATAACAGAGTCACCAAGCTAAATTTTAAAAATTAATTATGTGAGCCAAATGTGGATCTAATACAAACCAGAATGAGTTAAAGGAACATTGGAGTAGATGACCTCCGATGAATAAGACGTGTCGTCAGTCACAGTTTGCGAGGAGCTAGCGACAGAGAATCTGTCCTGAAATACTGAACTTTAATAAAGTTTAGGATTGAAACCATACAAATGTCAAAGTAAAAATTAAAAAAAAGAAAAAAAAGAGCTAATAAGTATTTCAAAGAAAAACTATTCATGGTAACAAAAAGTAATTAAGAGCTCTATTAACCTGATCAATCGGAAATATTCGAGAAAGAGTCGGACGTGTTTTATAAGTGGATGAAAAGCGAGCAGAACCAGGACGGGCACCACCATTGACAAGAAATGGATTTGGCAGTCGCGAAGGAAATCCACTAACCGAACGCCGCTGTCCCAACCTTTTGATCAGAGTATTAGATGACATACAAGTGATGACCTGAATATAAGTGTTATCGTATTTATAACTGCAATTTCATTTGAAGCGAATATAATTTTCACCTTATCAGTCAAATCAAGCGTTAAAGGTGCCCCCCCAATTGCACACTCATCAATGCTTAACCGCTCGTCGACTCTGGGCAAAGAGGACCACGAATTACGCCGCCACCGTATTCCACTTTCCTCATCACAACTCATTTCCTGAAGAACTAGCTTCATTATCTAGACTAAGAAGAAAAAAAATTTGCTGAGCTCCTCAGAACCAAAATACACAACTAATTAGATGTACTAAATCAACAAGAGTATCTCGCAACTAGATAACAGGAGAAAAATGTCAAGCTCCGCATCAAAATTATTCAATTGGTTTTTTAATCTGTTTCAGGTTATCCTCGCTAATCCGATTCAGTTGTTCAAACTGTGTACAACTAAAACAAAAATTTTCAAAAACTTTCGCTTCTACTGCACTGACGTGCCAAAATTCACCAAAATCGTCTTACTCGTTCAAACCTAACTATTTAATGGTGAACAACTCTACATAAAATTAACCAATACAGGATTGCACGACAAGAGAAATTCTGTTAACTCTTTGTATACAACAGACTTCAGGACCTAACTAACAAAGTCATTAGAAGATCAAATAACATTTCTTTTTTTTCTTTTACTTGACCCAGGAATAAATAAAGACAAAAATGTAACTTAGAAGCTAAAATTTGAAATTTCTGAAAGTCTTAAGACTGAAGATTTTACCACCCATAAATAACTGAACTTTCTACTCTAGCAAATGAAATGAAAGACAGTAAGCTTAAAAAAAATAAGAACCCTCACAAGACGCAATAAACCAGCGCAATCACGGGTCTGTACCTGAAAGTCCGACTTGAGGTCTCTGCTAAACAACTAAGCAAAAACTTCGTCAATGCTTAATCTTTACTAAGCTACCTTTACAGAGCACGGCTAAATGAATAATTTGAAAAATTGGGTTACCTAAATCAATGGGATTAGAGTTGAACCCACGTACTCCTACCAAGCAAAGAGCCCTAAACCAACCCCTTGAGGTTACACTCTACTCAATCTTCACAAAAAAAAAAATGATTTTTAAAGCTACTTATAAATGACACGTCCTACTGTAACTCCTTATGGAAGTGTAACATCTTTAGAACAAAAAAACTCGTAAAAGAAAAGAAATCAAGTAATAACAATAAAAAATTAACCAAGGCAGCTAATGACCACTGTTTGATATCGACAGAAGTCAATTCTTTCACATTGATTAAAAAATATGTTAGCCCAAAGACTTTACTGAACGCCTCATGTTCTTCCCTAACCTCCTTATTTCAATTTATCTTCACTCAGTTATCCCTAATCTATCAAAAAATGTACCACTTCTCCTACACTCGTCTTGAAATCACACCTTTACCTTCAAAACATGTACTTAGACAGAAAAAGCACCAACTTTATAACTTTCCTAACCAAAATCATTACTGAAACTATACTACTAATTATAGAACTTTATCTACTGAATAAAACTGACTCCAAGCTAGCCCCTCTGTGGCCATTTGATCATTGACCAACTGCCTAATAAAGTAATCTAACCGTAAAAAACAGAAACTACATTAAAGATCAATATCACAAAAAAACTGTTCCTCCACATCACATACCCCTTTGCTTTCCAAAAAAGCCTTTTTTTCAAAACATTCTGAAAAAGGATTCAGTTATCACAGTTACGTAGACCCCCTGAAAACTAACCTCTGCTCCGTCATAGTCTGATCCATTAGATTTTGATATTGGAATTTCATATTGCGTTGGAGCTGGACTAGAACATCTGGCTTCAAAAATATCCGAATTTGAATCTCCTTCAATTTCGTCAGTAACGCCATTCAACTGATTGGAACTTACGCGCTCCGAAAGTGAACTAATCGAGCTCGACAATCCCCTAACCGGACCATTTTCTGAATTTTAACAAGCAAATAGACAAATGTATTTTTAAAAAAATCTCTATTTACACGCGAACACTGGCTCAACAACATTTTCCACTTTCTCAGCACTAAATGCTTCTAGGCTTTTTCCTTAGAATTTCCAAGTCCCTCTAAATTAACCAAAAACATCACAAACTACATGGTTAAGCAAAAAAATTCAACATTATAATGAAAATAGAACTACCAGAAACTGGAGAGATCGCAGAAGAGTGTGATGCATCTGTAGCATCTGAAGCAGTTGAGATTCCTAAAGCTGTCGACAATACTAACTTGGTCTCAGATGAATTGGGAAAGTCGGCTACGCCAGTTGTCAAAGGTCGCGGATAACACGGCTGCTCGAAAGGCAATAACATATCAACGCAATGATCATTATTTGGTGAGATCAATGACGCCGCAGAATGATTATTTGAAGACGGCAACGATGTAAACGAAGATGACAAGCTGGCTGAGTTGAACAGTAAAGACAGCCTATCCTCTAAGCCCAACTGAAGGTCTGTAGTAGCACTTTCTCCGTTAGAACCAAAAGCCTGTTGGCCGTTGCCTTTCTCATTCATTGAAACAGACGACTGCTTTCGAGACAAATCTTTAACGTTCAACGCTGCTTCACTTTGGGCAAACTCAAGTCTACTCTCCCTACTGTCAAGAGAGGACCAGTTTTCAAGTTCCGGTCCCAAATTTGAATCTCCAGAAATTTTACGCACGGAGGCCACAATGTCATCCATCAGACTAACCACCTCTTTTGAAACCTAAAAGCTGATTATCAGAAAAGAAATAACAAAGACAAGTTTGTGTCTTAATCACTTACTCCTTCTTCTAAAGTTCCTTTTGCCAAACTACGCTTCAGTACTTTCAACGACCCCATAGGAAATGACGAAACTAGCCCGTCTACTTCTGCTTGATTGTCCCCCTTTTTAGCGAATAAAAGAGCCCAATCATAAGCCTAAAACTTAAGAAATACTGGGCAAACCCCATAAAATACTTAGATGACATAACAGCCACAAAAGCAGGCATAACAGGAAACACAAGAATAATTTTAAAATCTTCTGCCTTCGTAATGAGATAAACAAAATAGTGGCTGACCAGTTCACCCATACAAACTTTAACATTTGCCGTCTTCTAATAGGAAATCTTAAAAGCTTATTTACAAACAATTAACCGACCTTATCCACTGCTTTGCGTGCCTCTACAGCTTGCACCGATACACTAAATATTTCATCAGCGTGAGTGCGAAATCCATTAAGAGCGACGGAAAAACTGTCTACTTCCTTCTGAAGATTTACCGGATCTATTTCCACAACATTAAACCCTTCTTCCAATCGCTGCTGCATCTTCTCGTTCCTTAGGATTGCCTCAGATAAACTGCATTCAACTCGCTCTCGAATTTTCTTCGCTCGTTCAAACTATATTATCACTATGCGGTGTGAAAATAAGCGCAGATACAGTACCAGAATCTTAAAAAACTCGAGAAACTTACTTGAGCTGTAAGACGATTTATGTTGAAAGTTTTAACGCCTACAATTCTTTCCATTTCATGAAGATCGACTGTAAGTAACATAGAGATCTGGAACAATAAGCCTACTAGAAATCCACTATTAGTAAGAAAAAATCCTGACATAAAGTGAGGAAAAATAAATGAAGAAGACTGCTTCTACTCTGTCAACTTCTGACTTTCTTATCTAGGAGTGCAACGTACGCTTTTTTTGTAATCTAAGAATTCTACTGCGTAGCGCGCAGCTTCAAGTGACTTTTGCCGTTTCTTTATCGTAGCGTCACTCTTTTTAATCACATCAATAACCTCATTAAAAGCTTTCGCGGCCTGTTCGACTGCTTTTCTAAAAAACCAGAAAGTACTGGAGGATAATAACCAAATTACGCTAAATAAAACTGAATAAAGTTTAGCGTTTAGCGGAAATACTACCTGAAAAGCAGCAAAAGCATAGTTTGATCTTATTAATGGAATGTGACTACAGAAAATTCAAACTTGAAAAGATCTTTGCACCAAATTACAGCAAAAAAAAATTGCGATAAAGATGGGATTAATGCAACCTGTACAAACACGGGTCACAAGACTCCAGCAGAGGAAATTTGTGTAACAATTCATCACAAACTTTACTTCCTTCTCTGATCAAACTTCCGCGATCACCATCTGCCTCAAGAGCGCTCCAGCGATTCTTCAAGCTAAAAATGCTTTTTAAGCTAAGAGCGAGATAAGTGATTTAGTAAAAAACCCCTCACCCACTTTTTTGATGTTTTAAAAAACCTCTCAATTGAAAAAAAAAAAGCATTAGAAACAAAAAAGGAAACGAAAAGAGTGGAGTTTTCTTAAACTACTTGTCTCTTCGCAACACAGCAAATCATCCTGTCTTAACTACATTATTTCCTCTTCAAATACAAGACTTAATGGAATCTGAAATTTTTTTAAAGCGCCTTAATGTTAAAAAAAAGTCTAAACAAATCTAATGAATTAGGACGTCCACATCGTAAACAAAACGGTAATCAAACAAACGATTAATGAGTAACATCAATTTTAACAAACTCGGCTTCTTTATTGCAGATTTCCTCGTACATATTAGTGTGCGCATTGTTTACTGTCATACATCGCCTCAATTCATCATGTAACTTCATATAAACCTTTGCAATCCGATGCGTTTTATTCAAGAATTCTTCCAATTTCTAAAAATTTGTTTAAAGGATAGATCGTGTAATGTCAGAAGGGCTTAACACGAAAAAGCCCACAAAACTCTATCCCCTTTCCTCCTTCACAATATTCCTTTAAATTTTAATTTTGTATAAATTGAGAGAGAAAGAAAAGCCTGTAAACAAACATATCGCATAAGAAAAAACTGCTTCGCAACTTCCAAGTTAATGGTACCCTCCAGCTTTGTTGAATAACAGTCGCCATTCAAATACTGCCTCAATGATGGCACAGAATCAACAAATATAGTCTAAAAGAAACCAAAATTTATCTACAGTCATATGTAAAGGAATTCTCCCACAATTTTAGTCTAAAAGTCCCCTACTAAAGATAAAGTTTTTTAACGCACTTTACCTTTGAAAAAACTGTTAATGAAATAGAAAAGATACTTTGAAGACAAAACTGCATGAAAATAAAAGCATAATGATTCATAAAACTAGCTAGTTTCGTAGAAGACGTTGAAAGCACTAAAAAACTTTCCGAGGCCAAGAGAGAAGAAATAGAAAAAATGCAGAAGGACAGAATAAAGCCACGAAATAATAGCAGCTAAAATAAGCTAAGACTGCAAAGAAGCAAATAAGGGTTTTATCAAAAAAGCCTGCTTAAAAACTGATAGAAATGAAAATGATCAAGTTTAATAAACGAAACAAACTTCTTGCGCAAAAGGTATTTTATAATCTACTCATAACCACAAAGAGAATGAAAACCAAATTTTTAAACTTCTGCATACTCAAATAGTGAACCATTTTGAGTTATATCTGGTGAGAAATGAAAATTCGAAAGCTAAAAAGATAAGGCGATTACAACTTGCCAGTGAAAATATGAACCTTAAAATTTTGTAGTCTGAAAGAATAGTCTTTATAAATCGACTTTTTGTAATACGTGTTGTAAAAAATTTCAATTTAAACATGAGTTGGAAATATTAAAACACTAAAGAGAAAAGACAATGAGTCTGTCTATCTGAAAATAAACTAAAAACATACTCATGGCAAATCATAAGTTGGTATTTCTTACCCATAATACGTGAGGAAATAAAAATAAATCTTGTGTTTGTAACGCATGTGTAATAGCGCGTAAAATGCATGTTACCACATTTCTGATTAAAACTAAAGCCTCATTACCATCCTCAACAACTAAAGAGAATTTCTTTACAACACATATTGTACCGGTCAGTAAAGTAGCAAAATCGTTCGACAAGAAGAGCCTAATTCAAACAAGTTCCCCGGTACTTAGAGTCACATGGCAACCTAAAGACGATTTTTCTTCAAGTTTACTTAGACAACGTTTAGAAGAAACAACATAAATCACATAGCAAAAGAGATTGCACCGGGCGAAGTGTGATAAAATCACAAAAATGGCGCTCCAATGAAGCACAAACAGGGAATTTGTTATAACATTAAAAAGCAAACAAAAGGATTTTTACAAACAAACATTTACCACATTACCCAGCACAAAATTTATGACTTAAACAAAAAAACAGGATTTCAATCACAATAAGGCTCTGCTAACTGAATGCAATATTTTCAAAAGCAGTTGATTGCACAAAACAGCTATCAAAAAATCCCTCCTTTGAACCACAAAACAAAAAAATAGAAATAAAACTAATTACAAACATATCAAAAAGACTATACAACGTCACTTCTTTTCAATTAAAAACGATTAAAATTGGAATAACTGATGTCATTCATAATGAAAGCTCCCATAACAAGACAGTTAATGAGTTTCTATTAACAAAAATGTAGAAAGAAATAACTTCACCAAAAGAAAGAATGAAAATTCATTCAAAATGATTATAAATGCTAATGTATAATGCGAATACACTTACAACAGGTTCAAACAGCAATGGAGCACCTCTAGCCCAAATAAAGCTATGAAATTATATATATAAAAAAACTTGCCTGAATACCACATTCAGAGAGATCTTTAGTCAATGATGAATGAACTTCGTCGAGGAACTTAATGCCCACCCAATAAACACGTTCAACCAGATTATGATATGTGATCTGCAAAATAAACTACAATATTTCTTACAGCCTATAGCTAATGCTAGATTCAAAGAAAGCAGCTGCGAAGTCAAAGACACAACTGGACATGAAAAAATAATAAAAACTACAAAAAAAACGTCTAAAAAAGCAAAGAATAAATCCTACATGTTATTACCAAATTTAGCTGCATTTGAAAAATACTTCCTCTCCCCGCCCCTTTAAAAATGAAATTCGCCATAAAACTCTCCACTAGCCAAATAAGATTTTTACTACTTAGAATAATAGAGCAAAAGCAACAAGCATATTCCCGCTATCCTCACCAAAATTGCAACCCCAAATCCAACTAATGAATACCCCTTAGAGAGAACCCCTAACAAGAAATAACACTTGGCGAGAAATAACTTTCGGACTGCATCTCCAGCATTCGCGTATGTACAAAACTCTTATGGAGGATGCACTTTCCAGTAAACCGAACTAAGACTGATTTACTTTTCTTTCATTTACACAAGCTTCTTCACCAAATAGTCTTTATTGTCCGCGTACAGTAACGATTATGCTCTATTACTGTGCAATAAAGAAAAAGTACAATTTTAAATACATGTCCTTGCCACAGAAACTCACTATAATACGTAAAATATCTCATTTCGTTGTTTTCTTAACACCATTTTCTTGCTGTTTTAAAAACCCTCAACAAACGCTTTACTTCTCCTATAATGACAAGGCTTTCTAAATTTAGGATTAATTTAGTATTTTCTTGTCAACCTAATGTAGAGATATCCAGTCATTCAAAACTCCTAACTTTCTCGGAAGGTGTCAATCATTTTTCCCTGAACAATGATTTTATTTACGAAACAGCATTGTAATCATTTGAAACTCTGAAGCTACCCTTCGATTGTATAAACACAAAATTGCAAAAAAACTTCAGTTTGTGAAACCAATAGCGGCTAGTTAATTAATTTAAATCTATCTCATATCACCACTACAAAATAACAGACTTCAAAGCCCTAAACAAATTGTGTTTTTTGGAAGACAAGTTATGAAGATCTGTAGCAATGCTCGGTAGCATGCTTTGAATGTAAAGTTTCTGTAGAATTGGAAAATCATAAAATAAAAATAAATAGCGACATTTTCTGAAATTCTTAACAGAATATAGACGCAGCGTTTTCACAGCAAAAGAAAAATGACTTTAAAAGAACTTTTTTGATTAAACTTTTTTTCGCTCCAACTTTACAACAAACGTCCTGGATTTACAAAAAATGATACAACTTCTGATCTAGGGAAGTCTAAAACGGTAAACTCGTTTTTCAATGACGAAACTATCTTTGAAAACCCGTTGAATAAATCAAGTAAAAGATGGAACAAATTCTAATACCAAAAAAGGTAGAGAAGTAAAATACTTTGGCTCCCAAAACAAAAAGGAAGATCAGAGAAGTAAGTTACAGACTATTCTTTCAAATTTTTAACTCAAGTAAGTATAAACAGTATCTAAAACTTCGTGGAATTACTCCGTATGTTTTCGCTTACTAAGTTTACAAGTATATTAGACGTAGTGAAAAGAAAAGTATGAGAAACGGTCGACAAACAAGTTCCAAAAACCAATGAAATAAGAGGACTTCTTTCTTCTTAAAAATTTCAAGGTAGCATCGCAGGAATTGAAATTTTAGTGACAAAACTGACCGAGAAGTAATCTCGAACTAAACTAAAACTGATAATACTATAGATTAGAAAACAAATCAAAAACCCTACTCCAAAATTAGTAAATACTAATCGAAAAAAAAAAAAAACAGATTTTGAATTTTAAAAAGAGAAAAAAAAACAGAAAATTGGAAGCGGGAATAAAATTTTAAGACGGAACATTACGCAAACAAAAAGTGACAACCGTATAAGCTTCACAAACAATAATTTCATAGTAAAACAATGTCAACTTACATTCAAAGAGCAAATTGCTGTGGAGGCAGAGAGGATACTGCTTGAGGATGTGTAACTTTGAGCATCAATGATTATAACTAATCTACACGGTGGTTGAGATCTGAAACAAATAAACTCTCCGCAAAGTAGACATTTTAAAAGTTATGTCCAAATTGAAAGCTTTCGTAAGTGAAAAGTCCATCAAAAACCTGCACCCACACTTGTCAGCTAAAAACTGAATCTTAATTTTAAATTCATCGAATATCAATAATAAAGCCCTCAAAGACTGTAAGATGAATAGACATCAGTAATCTCATGCTAATTACCTCCAGAAGAAACAGAAACATAATAGTGGGAAAAGTATGGTTGCACAATCATTATTGTTCTATACAATTCTCAAAAAATAAGTAAAGGAAAAGAACAAAAAATGGTGCTTTCGAAATTGATTCTCCAAAAAATATTACCTGTAATAAAGAGAATGGGCAGCAAATAATAAAGGAGGAATAGCATCATATGGAAAACCAGCACAGAGACTTAACTCAACAAATACACAATGTGACTGTGATTCGCAGCGAATACCTGAAGAATATATTTACAAAACCTATGCTCTTTCCGTTCCGCAATGAGTGGCAGAAACAAATTTAAAAACTATTAGACGACTCCAGCTACGCAAAACAAAGTATATACGACGAGCAACAAGAGTAGCTCCGAAAACTAATCCAGCAAACAAGTCCCAAGTTATGCAAAATTAGAAAAAAAGAAAAAAAAAGAAAATAAACTTGAGGAAAAATTGCCAGCTAGATATGATTATATTCCAAATAAACCCTATCTTTCAACAACCACTCTAGAAAAAATATATAACAGTGAACTCTCAAAACTTGCCGCCTAATTCATTGACAACCAGCAAAGAGCTTAACGGTTTAAAAGCAAAAAAGGAAAAAACTAATTCTGTAAAGTAAGGGCGTATAGGAAAGAAAATCGATTCATAGATAAACGAATGAATGAACAAATAAATAAATATAATGCTACCGCTGCTACAGTAAAAGAAAGATATACCAGTGTGACTAAGAAAAATTAGCGATATTAACGTTTAGCCATACGAAGCAAATTTATATTTTTACAGTTTAGATAGGTAAACTTCAAAGTTTTTAAACGCCCTATCACACAGCAGAAAAAAGTAACTGACGCAATTAATTTTCGTATGATTAACCTATGGTGGGAATAGAACTTGTAACTGCAAACATGAAGCCGCAATCAAGATGCTACTATTCAGAAAAAATGAAAATGGAAAAACATACCATGTATTTGGAATAAGCTGTGAGGTTCCACACCATTCAGTAGAGGTCTAACATCTGTAAACTGTCTACTAAAAATCCTCATCGATAACCATTTGTGCTGCCTGTAACTAACAACACCAGTGTTTCATATATACAAAAAAGGATAATAAATGACACAACGGCATAAATTTAAAATATAAC